GCTGAAGTCACAGATTGTGGCAACATGGGATTCGCTCTGGGGGGTGGAATGCGTGCAGCACGATGTTCTGGTTTAGGAGAGCGTCAGGTTCAAAGCTTGATTCTTGTAAACCCGAGCAAACGATGGAGAAAGAAACACCATCTCTACAATTCTTTCTGGGGCCTGCGACGTAGAAGGGAGCAGGGAGCAGGGAGCGTCACAAGAGGCAGTTTCTTGGCATCTTGGCCTATGAATCATTGCTCTCACATGGGCCTCATGGACCCATCTCTAATTTGAAAGTGGAGCAGCAGAAGGCCCCAAATTAACCTCAGTTTTGTCCTTTCCCTTTCACTGGGAGCTCCATCGGCCTGAACGTGGGGTGTCACCGATGGTAATATCTGGATATCTAGGGAGGTTCACCTTTACACTGATCACAGTAACAGCCTGCCTGAGGGGGTGATGGGGTAGAGTTGGGGTGGGAAGCAGCTCAGAGAAAGGGCTCACTTTCATATTAGATTATTGATCAAAGGGAAACAACACGCAGAGGACAAGGAAGAAATGCCAAAGACTTGTTGAGATGACAGCGTGATATAAAGTTTCTCATAAGACAGGAGTGCCTGGATGGCTCAGTCGACGGAGCATGTGACTCTTGATCTTCGGGTTGTGAGTTTGAGCCCCATGTTGGGTGTGGAGATTACTTAAAAATAAAATCTTTTTTGGGGCGCCTGGGTGGCGCAGTCGGTTAAGCCTCCGACTTCAGCCAGGTCACGATCTCACGGTCCGTGAGTTCGAGCCCCGCGTCGGGCTCTGGGCTGATGGCTCAGAGCCTGGAGCCTGTTTCCGATTCTGTGTCTCCCTCTCTCTCTGCCCCTCCCCCGTTCATGCTCTGTCTCTCTCTGTCCCAAAAATAAATAAACGTTGAAAAAAAATAATAAAATCTTTTTTAAACGTTTCTCACAAGACAAAGATAGGTGGCTGTGTACAGAATATCTCAGAAAGGCTGTACTAGTAAGTGCTAACAGTGAATGCCCCTGGCAAGAGAGAGGGTTTGAGGGTGGAGCTTGGGGGTACGAAGGAACTTGATTTTTCCTTGTGATCTACCTTTTGTACTGTGTGAGTTTTGCTGAAAAATTATTTTGTATAGTCTTACGTGTCAGAAGACTTCATAGGAATGTGGCAGGTCCTTAATAAACACATTAAACCATTGTACTATTTCAGGAAGTAGCATTTATAGAGTGCCTACTGTGTGCCAAGGGCCCTTTGGCAATGCTCATTTTACGGATCTTAGGAAATGGAAGCTCGGCTAGGAGGGAGCCAAGTGGGGACTCCTCCCAGGTCTGCTGGAAGCCAGAGCTCTGCTCCTCAGCAAGGACCACACAGCCTTCCTCCCTGGAGTGAGCAGTTGGAGGCACCAGATGCTCTGGCAGGATCCAGAGAGATGCCATCTGTGAGGGAAACCTATTCTTAGAGAGCAGAGACAGTCGCTGGTGTAGCCGGCCAGGCCCCCACAGCAGTGGGGGGATGCTAGGCAGGCACACAGCCAAGGCTCTACCTTTAACTTGGGGGGGGGGTAGGACAGGCTAAAAGCGGGGGGTACTCAGTTCTTAGGACCACACTTCCTCCTACGTTGGGATGCTATATTAGAAATAACAGCAAACATTTACTGAGTGCTTACTTTATATTCGTCATGTTGTTTAATCCCCCAGGCCATCCTGTGAGGTGAGTGCTATCAGAATGCATATTTTACAGATGAAGAAACAGAGGTACAGAATGGTTAAGCCATTTGCCTAAGGAAACAGGGCTGAGCCCAGGCGCTTTTGCTGTCCCCAATCAGCATGTTATACGGACTCTCAACCTGCTGCACTGGAGGCCAATTTTAGTTTGGGTTTCCTCAATAGCAGACCCCAAGACAAGGATTTCAGTGCAAGTGGTTTATTTGGGAAATGGTCCCAGGAAGTACTCGTAGGGGCATGAGGAAGGGAGACAGAGAAGGGAGTGTTATCAAGCAAGTGACCACTGTGGGCAGCCAAGTTCAGTCCCGCTGGGGAACTCTGGGAGCCAGTGTGGAGCATGTGCCTCGGAGTTACCCCACCCGGTGATAATGGGGGGGGGGGCATTCATCAGTCATTGGTTGAGGGCTGCTCCTGGGATGTGGTAATCCTCCAGACCTGCTGTGGGGCGACGGAGCAGACGCCAGTAACAAGAGAGGGCCTTCAGGCAGAGACACAGGGGTGGCAGGTGGAAAAGTTGGCTGGTGTGCGGTGAAGTGGTAAGTTGGAGGAGATATGGGTGCAGCACCCCCAGCATCTGCTTGCTGATGACCACCCCCCTCCCCCGCGTAACCTTGGGATCTCATTCAGCCTCCACAGAGTGAATTCAGAGACCTTCCAGCTCACCTTCTCCAAACGTGTAGTACAACACCATGGCTGAGAACACTGCTATTGGCATCAGATGTGATGCCACCATGATTACCTAACAGCTCTGTGACTCAGTTTCCTCACTTATAACAAGGGATAATAGCTGGCTGCATATCATTCCCTACTGCCTCGTTACTCAAGGTATGGCTTAGACCAGCAGCACCACCAGCGGCACCTGGAAGCCTGTGAGAAGTGCAGAATGTCTGGCCCTACGGCAAACTCACTGAGTCAGAATCTACATTTTAATAAGATCACCAGTGACTCATGTGCACATTTCTACTAGTAACTTCTAAAATATAAAAAGAGACTGAAGTATTCTTACTAGACCAAGGGTCTCAAATTGGTGGGCCATGGACCAAATCTTCCTGGAGACCTGTTTGATTTACCCAGCACACTGATTTTTAAAATCAGACTGGCCCGTGAGTCTCCAGTTGACCGTGTCCCCACCACTCCCTAGTGCACATTTTCATTTATGCCCCTTGCCAGGTCCCTGTGGGCACCTGAGTTTGCACCCCCGGCCTGGAACCGATCCTATAACCAGCTAACGTTTGCATAGCTTAGGTTTCTAAATTTAACATAAGGCACTGAAAAAAACCCATGGGCTTTGAACTCAGACAGGTCTGGGTTCAAACCCTGATTTGGCCATCATACTAGTTGTATTACCTTCAGCAAGTTACTCTTCCCCTTTCTGATCCTGTGTCTACATCTGTGAAATGAGGATCAGAATACATACTTGCAAGGTCACTGCATGGATTAAAAATAATATGTGCAAAGCACTGGGAGGAAGTAGGAGCTCACTAAATGGAAGTAATTAGTAGTAATAGCAGCTGTTGTAGTTATACAAGTCCAATGAGGACACCTGCTGTGTTTTATGATTATCCTCATTTTACAGGAAACTGAGGCTCAGAGAGGTTAAGTACCTTCCCCAAGGTTACATAGTGGTGGAGTGGGGACTCAAACCCATATCCCCAGCTCTGTATCCATACTGTCCACTAGAATTTTCTGTAAGGACAGAAGTGTTCTACATCTGTGTAGCCACTAGCCACATGTGGCTGACTGAGCACTTGAAAAATGACTGGCCCAAATTGAGACATGCTATAAGCATACAACACATACGTGACTCTGATGACATAGTACTAGAAAAAAGAATGTAAAATAGCTTGTTACTTTTTATATTAATTACATGTTAAAATGATAAAATTTTAGAAATATTGGGTTAAATATATAATTAAGATTAATCTCACCTGTTTCTTTCTACTTTTTTTAATGTGGCTACTAAGAAAAGCTTTAATTACATATATGGATCCCATTGTGCTTCCACTGGACAGTGGAATTCTAGAGCTTCTCCATTAGAACACCTGAGCAAGGAATATAATATTTTCTAAAAACGTATTTGCAACCCACTGCCCACCAGCAAGGAGCACTCCGTTACTTAAGAATGACTGAAGACCGTACACACCAGTAAGAGACTTCAGGGCCCTCCTCTGATGCCCAGAGGGGGTGTCTTTCCCCGGTCTCACAGAAGTCAGCAGCAGAGCTGGAATCATGTCCGAGGCTCCACAGCCCGAATCGCCACTTGGTCCACCATTTGGGAGTACCTAACGGGACTTGGAAATCAGTGCTTTTGCTTCAGCAAATGGAACCCTGGGACAATAGAATCTGGAGTCTGAGAACCATGATCTTGAGAAGAAGGATCCACTGGGAGGATTCACCGATGGAGCCAATCTCGGGTGCAGATGCCCCCATAAGCACCTTGGGAGCATGTTACTTTGAGGGAAGGCTTTTGTTGTAGAGGAGGAAGTCTGAGATATCGTGCCATACATCGCTGTCCTGATACAGGTAGGTCATGGAGGACTGCAGTGAGGGTTGTAGAGTGCGCTGGTGGTACTCAAAGAGCCACAGCACCAGCCCCCACACTATCCCAGTGAGCAAAGGGAAAGGGTCCCACCTGGGTTCGGGAATGTAGCCCTTCTCCACGCCCAGGCGGCACAGGGCAAACAGGAGTCGTGACAGCAGGTACATGTTGATCTGCAGGAAGGGAATGACAGGGGATTACAGGAGGGCCCAGCCACTGGGAACCTTCTCCCCCTGACCCATGCACTGGGGCACCTACTGTGCAGTGGACTAGTGTTTTTCTTTTTTTTTTAAGTTTCTTTATTTAGAGGTGCCTGGGTGGTTCAGTCTGTTGGGCATCTGACTCTTGGTTTCGGCTTAGGTCATGATCTCACGGGTTCATGGGATTGAGCCCCATGTCAAGCTCTGTGCTGACAACACTGAGTCTGCTTGGGATTCTCTCTCTCTCTCCCTCTCTCTTACTGTCTCTCCCCCACTTGTGCTTATGCTCTCTCTCTCAAATAAACATTTAGAAAAGTAAATAAATAAAGAATAAAGTTTTAAAATTTATTTTAGTAATCTTTACACCCAATGTAGGGCTTGAACCTATGACCCCAACCGAGTTCAAGAGTCTCATGCTCTTCTGACTAAGCCATCCAGCAGCCCCTGGAACAGTGTGCTGGTATGCAAGGTGATTTGAAATAGTATGTAGCGGGTATTTTAACATTGCTATTCATTTCTTAATTTATCATTCTTGTTAATTAAAAATTTTAGAAAATAGGGCACCTGGGTGGCTCGGTTGGTTGAGCGCCCGACCTTGGCTCAGGTCATGATCTTGCGGTCCGAGTTCGAGTCCCACGTCAGGCTCTGTGCTGACCGCTCAGAGCCTGGAGCCTGCTTCAGATTCTGTGTCTCCCTCTCTCTGCCCCTCCCCTGCTCGTGCTCTCTCTCTCTCAAAAATAATCATTTAAAAAAATTTAGAAAATGAATACATTTACATGTTTCAAAACTAAAAGGTAACTTGACACCAAAAAATACAATGCACACACACACACACACACACACACACACACACACACACACATGCACACACAATTAATAGGTTGGATCTTATCGAAATTTAAAATTGATTGTGAAAGCCCCTATGAAGAGCCTGAAAAGAAAAGCCACAGGTGAGAGAAAATATTCACAAACACATATCTGACAAACTGGTATCTGGAATATATTAAAAAAAAAAACCTCTTAAAACTCAACGGTAAAGAAAAGAAACAATCCAATCAGAAAATAAGCAAAAGATGCGAACAGATGCTTCACTGAACTGGTTATACAGATGGAAAATAAGGACATGGAAAGATGTTCAACGTCATTAGCCATTAGGAAAATGCAAATTAAAACCGCAATGAGAAGCCCTGACACCTATCAGAATGGCTAAAATTAAAAATGTGATCAACCAATGCTGGCTCGGATGTGGAGAAAATGGATCATTTGTATATTCCTGATGGGAATGTAAAATAGTACGGTCCTCTAGAAAACAGTTTGGCAATTTCTTAAAAAATTAAACATGCAGGGGCACCTGGATGTCTCAGTCGGTTACGCGACCAACTCTTGATTTTGGCTCAGGTCATGATCTCACAGTTCGTGGGTTTGAGCCCCACCATCAGCATAAGAGCCTGCTTAGGATTCTCCCTCCCTCTCTGCCCTCCCCTAATCGCATGTCTCCATGTGCGTGAGCTCTCTCAAAAAAATAAATAAACTTAAAAAAAAAAGTCAATCCTCAAAGGTTACATACAGCAATGACTCTACTTCTAGAACATTTTTGAAATGACAAAATTTCAGAAATGGAGGTCAGAGGGGTCAGGGGAAAGGAGGGATAAGAAGATGGTATGACTAGGATTCCTAGGCCTTAGAAGTTCATAAACCAGTGCCATTTCTTTTATTTATTTTTTTTAAGTTTATTTCTTTTGAGAGAGAGTATGCACCCACACAGCAGGCGAGAAACAGAGACAGAGGGAGAGAGAGAATCCCAAGCAAGCTCCATGTTGTCAGTACAGAGATCTACGCAGGGCTCAAGCTCACAAAATCTGAGATCATGACCTGAGCTAAAATCAAGAGCTGGACACTTAACCGACTGAGCCACCCAGGCGTCCCAGACCAGTGACATTTCTAACAACAAAAACTGGGGAAATTTTCTCAAAATACAAAATGCTCATATCCACAGACTCCACAATCCCATGTTGAGGAAATTTCAGATGGATTGACAGACAAACGCCCAAAGACGCAGACTGCAATGTGTGTGTACTGGCAAAAGGCTAGAGACCCCCTTGTCCATCCAGGAGACTGGGAAAATCAAGCCTGGTCTATCCACCCAATGGAGAACTTTGCTGATGTTAAAAAGAATGAGGGATTGACAAGAAAGGTTTCCAAAATACATCATTCTGTGAAGAAAAAGTGTGGTGTGATCTCATTGGAGGAAAACTCCTGATATGTTCAGACACAAGCACAGACAATTTCTGAAGAGCACACAAGACACAGTTGAAGTGTTCATGGACAGTGGCTGGACAATTAGCAGGGGGTGGAAACTTTCTTTTAAATCCTTTTTTTTTTAAAGTTTATTTATTTTGAAAGAGAGAGAGCATATGCACACGCACAAATGGGGAGGGGAAGAAAAGAGGGAGGGAGACAGAATCCCAAGCAGGCTCTGCCCTGTCAGATGTGGGCTCGATCTCATGTCTCACCAACAGTGAGATTATGACCTGAAACGAAATCAAGCGTCAGACGCTTAACTGACTGAGCCACCCAGGTGCCCCTTTTCAATTTATTTTCTAGTTTTATTGTGACCATACCCCAAGCACCTAGGAGTATGCCAGGCACACAGGGGTGCTTAGTCTGCATTTTTTAAAATGTGAAAATAAAACGTTTTATAATTTGAAAGTATTTAATAAATTTGAGGGAGGCAAAGAGAGGGTCTGCCAACTTTTCACGATGACCAAAAAGGACTTAAAACAATAACTAGCATTTCATTTCACAAAAAAAAGAAGAAAAAAAAAGGATTTTAACCTAGAAAAAGGACAAGTTAAAGAATAGATCATTCTTCGAGTGTAATAAGTTATGTTTTATGGGGAGCCTGGGTGGATCAGTCGGTTAATAAGTTATGTTTTATGGGGCGCCTGGGTGGATCAGTCAGTTAAGTGCCCGACTTCAGCTCAGGACATGATCTCACGGTTTGTGAGTTTGAG